TGCAAACCAACAATTTTTTTATGGCACATGCTATCTCTGTGCAAAGTAGCCGACCAACTTGGGGAGGTTCTGTTCCAGGACATAGAGTAATCCATCGTGATCGGGAGGAGGCTCATCGCACTTTGTTTCGAGATTATTTTAGTAGTAATCCAACCTACGATGAAGATACATTTCGTCGAAGGTTTCAGATTTCTTTTCATAATTTCAAGCGTGTTATGCAAGCATTGGAAAATCATGATAGTTTTTTCCAACAACGTCGGGATGGTCTTGGTCGACTCGGATTGTCAAGATATACAAAAGGGACAGCGTGAAGAGATTCTGTCAACATATAAAACCCCTGCAGACGGTGTCGACGAATATCTTAAGATTGCTGAGTCAACGGCAAATGAATGCGTGAAGAGATTCTGTCGTGGAGTCGTTGAAGTTTTCGGAGCACAATATCTGAGATCACCAAATCACGATGATATCGCTAGATTGCTTCATATTGGTGAATAACGTGGTTTTCCAGGTATGTTAGGTAGCTTGGACTGCATGCACTGGGAATGGGAGAATTGCCCTAAGGCATGGGCTAGTCAATACTCTGGACGTTCGGGTTGGTCAATACTTTGGACGTTCCGGAAAACCAACAATCATTTTAGAAGCTGTGACAGATTATGATCTATAGATATGGTACGCATATTTTGGTATGTCAGGTGCCAATAATGATACTAATGTGTTGGAAGCATCACCTCTAATGTCAAATCTTGCTGAAGTTATCGCTCCACCGACAGAGATTGTGGTTGGAGATGCTCTAATAGAATATTCCAAAGCGTTTTCCGTCAAATGCGTTAGCCTGTGCACTTGAACCCAAAGAAGCCTCATTCAAATGGAGAACATATATAAATATAGTTAATGGAGATAAACACTATTTTAGTTAATGAAAAATATAAAAGTAGGCTGTAGGTCAACAGATTTAAATTAACTTTTGAGTTAAAATGAGTAGTGGAAATAAATGAAGGGTTGAAACCATTAGCTCATGGTGCAATTGGATAAATAATATCTCAATGGAGAAATGGGTTAATTAAGTAGTGGGTTTTTTATTTTGGAATAATAAATAGTATATATAGAATAATGGTCAACCCGGCCCACCAGTAGAGGTGTAATAATATCTTTCGGTCTTTTGGCCCATTTATATATGGGCCAACGTAGAACATCCAGAGCAGAGCAGGCCTTATATATAAGTAAAAAATAGTGAATATGTAAAATAGTTATTTATGTCTACAATTATTTATGTCTACAGTTTTATTTATTTATTTATTCATTGATATATCATATATGAGTGCGAGGTTATTTGTGTGGCCAACTAATTGATCCGAATATCTATTCGTAGTAGATATATATGAAGCTTAATCGATTTTTTAGAATAATAAATTATTTATTTTTGTAATCAAATGTTACAAATTGCTTCTAATAATTAATATTTTAGGGTCTCTGTGGTACAAATACCCCAAATTTATGGTAATATAAGCTTCATTTTTATATCCTCCCTATATATTATTCTCGAATGTGCTGAGTTTACGTGACTGCTTCTGGTGCTTCGGATTCCTACTTGACAAAGAATCATGCTTCGTAATTAGGTTTGAAGAAATAATATTGATATATTAATAATTAATAATTTGGGTTAGGACATTCCATAAATATTATTTAGCTAACTTAGGTATTTTAATATCACTTGTACTAATATAACATTTATTTCTTTGTAATTTTGCATACCGAGGAGCGATGGTTTAATTGCGTAAATAGAGTTTATTTTCTCTCAGGAGTTGGAGATTTGCTTTCGGTCAGAGTAAGTAGAACAGCCGGTGAACCCCAAGAAGGAAAGGGGAAAGAATGAGCATATAGATATGATTCGGAAAGACTGAGACTCCACCAGATATTCTTGCTATTTTAAGAGAATATTATCATTGGTCTTACTTAGGCCTTGATGTCTTTTTATTTCCGCTTTCAATGCCCTACATAGGAAATGAAATGATTCTTTCAATTAGCTATTGAATTATAAATGTATTTTAAAAGTCGATAATCTCCAATAATTCATAATCAAACGAGGCGTTATATCATCTATTAGTACGATGTACATAATTTTTTTTCACAGTTTTTGTCGTTAGATAGTATAATACTATTGATTAATCGTGCTAATTTGTTAACATAAGCGTGTAAAAATTAATGAACGAATTATATTTTCCTTATTTTGTAGGTATAAAGTTGTAATTGTTTATATTAATGAATAAATTATATTTCTTTCTGTGTTCATATAAAATTGTTATCTTTTATATAAAAGTTAATAAAAAAACAAGTGTACGAAATATTTTTTTATCTCTTATTTATATTTATACATGTTTTGATCTTACTTACGACAATAAAAATAATATAAACAAAATGAAATATACACAAATAATATTAAATATTTATGTAGAGTGAGCACATTCTATAATAGTTTAATAAACAAAATTATGAAAGTATTAGTAAACATTTCAAGAATATTTCAAAAAAAGTTTGAAATAATTTGTGAAGAGTTTAAGAAAATTATGATTATAAATTCAAATAATATAACATTTTCAAATTATTATTCAAATCGAAAATAAAAAATAATGTAACTTTTTTCACCTACTGGATAAATATTTATTTAATAGGTTTATTAATACTTATTATTATTAATTTAATTAAATTATTTTTTCAAATGAATATAGAATAATTAATTAGGGTTCTAATTTGTAAATTGTTACATATGTCGGTAGTGTCGAAAAACTGTATTAATGTGAAAGAGAATATTTCGAGAATATTCTTTTGAGTTTGAGAATGAGTTTGTCGGTTGGAGATAAATTAGTGTTTGATGCGATAATTACAGCAAAATGAGTATGAGAATAAATTTTTCGGCTGGAGATGGTCTAAGTTTACTAAGGACTGTGAACGTCAATGAACTTTCATATATGTATACAATAAATTATTTATTTAATGAGCGTGTTTGAAAGCAACATAAAATTTATTTGATTAGCTTATAAATTTCATGTATATAAATAACTTTCGTTTGGTATGACAATGCTTTTTTTAAAAAAAAAAATTCGATCTTATCTCATAAGTGTTCTTGGGTAGCTATTCAAACAAAATCGCTGAAATTTTTATTTCAGGTGACTTATCAACTATCTTTTCTAAATATTTTTATCATATCAACTAATTCCGGCCATGTGTCATAAGTAGCGTTTCTTCACCTATAGACCCAAAAAAAAAAAAAAAAAGGTTGGAAAAAAAAAGAAAAGAAAAGAATATGGTAGGCCAATGGTGTTAGCTCCTTCCACGTGCAATAATACCATTTTATTTCTTTTTCTTTTGATTGATGTCTAATGAGGTTAGGGCGTCCCCAATGGTTGGCTATTTGGCTAACTATTATGATGTGGACAGGAGAAAAGTATGAGAGAGAGTAGTCACTAGCGACGAACAAATAGCTTATCTATTTCACGTAGTCCAAGATCATGTGAGAGAAGTACGTGGTTCAATAGTGTAAAATAATTATTTTTCTTATCTTTCACGTCCACGTCATCTGACCATATAGCTAGTAATAACTATTACCATTGGTGATGCCCTTAGTGAGTCCCAATCCAACACAAAGTATGGATTATTTGGGGAATTTTGGGATTATAAATTTATAATCCCCTTATTTATCAATTATTAGCCAAGAATCTTTGCTTTTGTTTCTATATTAGTTGGGTTTATTTATTTTGGTATCTTCAATATGGGTTTGTTCTTCATTGCACATGCGAACCCAAAATTTCTTCTGCAACAAAAAAATAAAAATAAAAATAAAAAAGCAAAAAGTTTGTCAATCTACAATTGGGGAAAATTTCATCCTACCCTAGGAGAGATTTATCGGGATTTTAGCTGTTAGATCAACATACATCCGTGCGGGTGTACGTGTGTGTCTGTCTACACGGTATATATGATGACCGACTAATTATATTTCTATTAAAATAAAATTATGTTTATGCTATAAAGAAGTATCATATTTTATTTATATTATCTTTAATATAATATTTCAGTTTGAAAGTGTAAATAATGTTGAATAACTGATCATAAATTCATAATGTGTGACATAAGGTACTTACATCGGTCTTTTGGGCTTTTTGCTAATGATTGTTTAGTGTCCCCATAAAATAATAATAATAATATAGCTTATAATAATAATAATAATAATAATAATAATAATAATAATAATAATATAGCTTATACATAAGGGCCATGTGAATCTGATTTGGGGACACAGAATAGAGGGATTAAGACACAGTGCACATGTGAATTTCATGTGCCTTCATTTTGTTTCATTTTTTTTTTTTCTTTTAATTATAATAATGTCATAATCCCACATTATCTGGTGTCATAGGGATTAGCTACTGTTATTTAAATCAGTCTAAGAAAAATTTGAGGAGGGTATAAAATTCTAGCAAGATACATAATGATGTTCTTTACCTAAATTAGTGAACAATTTTAAAGAAATGCTATGGTCTCATTACAATACCATCTTATCGGAAGTTTTAAACGTTGAATACACATATAATTATTATAAGATAAACTATCCAACGGTTAAATCACCGACGGTACCATAACATTTCCCACAAGTTTAATCAAACCAAACTTCACTCGTTTAAATTAGCGAACACTCGTTAGTTGGTTTAAAACGGCCCAGGCCCAAAGCCACATGGGCACATGGTGGGCTTACCCTCTGCCTCTCTCCTCACTTTCTCGCTCCAAAAAGCCGTTGCCAGCCTGCCGCCAGCTGTCCCCAATTTTTTTTTTATCCCACGTGACCGCCTCCGGCCCCCCACGTGACCTCCCCTTAGTAACGGCAGCAGTTAATTACAGCTCAACGAACAAACTATAAAATTTATCGAATAATTCTGCTCGAGCCCTCCAATTCCATTTTTATTCCAAATAAGACACTTTTTTTTTTTCCCATTCTCTCCGGAAAGTGCATGGAGCAGCTGCCGCCCAAGGCTCCGATCCCGATGTCCCACAACTGGCCGACGCCGCCGCCGACGGCGGCGGCTTGGGCAGACGAGTTCCTCGACTTCTCCGCATGGCGGCGTGGGGCCCACCGCCGGACGGTGAGCGACCCCATCGCCTTCGTGGAGTCAGCGACGACCGGGTTCGAGGGGTTGGACAACGAGCAGCTGCGGAGCATGTTCTCCGACGAGGTCACGGCGGCAGAGGCGGAGGCGGTTGGGCCGCAGTCTGACCCGTCCACGCCGTCGAACAGCGACGGCGGCGAGAGGAAGGCGGCGGCGGCACGGCTGAAGAACGAGCAGGGGGAGGCGGACGGCGGATGTTCCGAGACGGCGGCGTGGAATAAATCCTCCGAGAGTAATTTCTCCGGCAAGGCCAATATCGTGGATCCCAAACGGATCAAGCGGTGAGCATTAATTATTCACAAATCACTAGTAGTTAATTTAGTAGATAATTACTCAAGAGTGCTTGAATGAGATGATTTGAGTCTCTTTCAGCTTAACCAGTGGTCTCGTGTTCGAGCCCTGGGAATGCAACAGTGTTAAAAACTCTTGAGTGAGAGCTTTGCCGCCCTTGTAGTCCTACCCGGCTCGATTCCAGATTAGTCGGTTCCCATATGGATTCAAAAACCGGAAGATTCCTGTACCAAAAAAAATAAAAATTAGTAGATAATTGTTTATTTATGTACTACCAAATATTTGTTTCTTGCTCTTATAATTTGATACAGACAAATTTCGGATTAACTAAAAATTTATTCGATGTCTTTGATGAAGTAATTAACTAAATGAGGAAATTAGATATTAATCACCTATCCAGACTTCTAACAATATATATATATATACATATATATATGTTTTGTAAATATATGTACATATATACTTTCACACTTAAATATCATACTTAAAAGTACGATATAAACAAAATTACGACTATTAATAAAAAATAGTATGCATTATTCGTAAAAATTAATTTAAGTATCTTATAATTAAGCAGTCTAACAGTAACATTTATGCATTTAAATTTGTAGGATAAGAGTTATATAACTTAGTTATAGATTAGCCCAACACAAATTTATAACAAAAAATGCATAATTCTTCTATAAATTTGATATTTTTAGTTATATTGGAATATGACATTTCATATCGTAAACTTACTATTACACGTCCCTTAGGGGACATTCGATAAAATTGGAACAATATAGAGAAGATTAGCATGACCCAAACTTACTATTACACGAAACTCTATCTATACACATAACTCAATTTTGGAAGACCAAAATAGTGAAATACGAATAATAGTAGCAGCCTGCAGCAAAAGTAGTAATATTAGTTAAATGATATATTATCAGTTAATTTAATCCAATTATTTTCTAGACTTAATTGTTAATTAACTAATCAAATAACGTGATTAGTAGCCAGTTAGCACCTAATGTATTAGTATATATATATATAAACTATACAATTATGTTACTAATTATTTATTAATTTGTTCCACATGCAAAACCCTAAATTCAGAATCTTGGCAAATCGGCAATCAGCTCAGAGGTCTCGTGTGCGAAAGCTACAATACATTTCCGAGCTTGAAAGGAGCGTAACATCACTGCAGGTTTATATATGGAGATGCTACAGTCCTCTTACGGAACCATTTCGTCGGGTTTGTAATCGTTAGATCAACTATCCCTGACGGTTACATGATAATCTAACGGTTACAAACCTGGATCGAATGGTTCTGTGACGGAACCGTAGCATTTCCCTTATATATATATATACAAATATTTAATTACTTAACCTATTTTATATTTTTTTTTTCTGAAATTTTGTTTATTTTACTGATTTTATTTCTTATTATATATATATATTCTAAAAAATTATTTTTTTATGAATGCAAAGACTGAGGTATCAGCATTGTCTCCAAGGGTGGCATTTTTGGACCATCAGAGGCTTCTATTGAATGTGGATAACAGTGCTCTTAAGCAGAGGATTGCCGCTTTGGCTCAAGAAAAAATTTTCAAAGAAGGTAAGAATATTGATAAGTTATCAGCTAGCTTATCAGCTATCAATCAGTTTATCACCTCGTTTTATAGAATATAGTCTATTATAGTAATCAAATTATCTGATATGTTTGTTCAATTTTGGCCAAAAAAAAAATGTCGAAATTAAGCCCATAAAGAAGCATTGAAGAAGGAAATAGAGAGACTGAGAAAAATCTACCACGAACAGAACATTCCGAAGACGGCGGCCAACGCCGGAGTTGACGTCATGCCAACATCGCCGGCGGCAACCGCCGACAAAAGGGGCTGTTTGGAAGATGAATAATATAAGTCTTTTCTTTTGTAATTTTATTTGTTTTTTTTTTCTTTTTTTTTTTTTGAAAAGATAGTTTTGTTGGATTGGTGTGTCATGCGATCACGTGGTGTGTCGCTGTCGTTTGCAAAACCTCACGTTCGTGGCGGGGCCCACTTTCGGTAATGGAGCCTGTAGGAAAGACACGTGGCCACTTGAACTGGATAATAATGTTCCAAGAAAAAAGGAGGGGTAAAAGAGGTAATTCGGTCAATCGGGGATTTTCAGGATCGTGAACATCTCGTGACTCGTGAGTCGTGATGATTAGCATAGAATTACTATTTTTTTTGGAAAAAAGAAAAAAAATTAATTATAATCATTTGATTGTTAATTAACTTTTGATTTTGGTGTTGGGTTTTGTTCGTTCATTATATTTAATTTATTTTATCTGTAATTACTAATTCGTTAGAAATCATGCATTGGTCCCCGGGGCACGAGTCAGTCAAGGTCACGGCTAGACTGGGCTCACCAGGCAGGGTCACGGCTAGCCTAGGCTGGGGGGCTGAGGGTTAGTTGAACCCTCATCAGAGTTTAATTATTATTTTTTTCTTTTTTTTTTTTGAAAATTTGTATTTTTTGTGTTATATGAGTTTTGCTAAAAAAATCGGTGACGGGTTTGTAACCGTTAGATCATCATGTAACTGTCATAGATAGTTGATCTAACGATTACAAACTCCAACGGAGAACGGGACCATAGCATCTTTCACAAAGTTAATAGTAAAAGCATGAATTTATCTAGTACACTATTGACAAATTTCTAATTTCTACATAGTAACAGACGAGCAAGACGATAAAAGATGGTCAATATATCTTTAATTCCATGGATTAAACCAATATATCTAGTGGTTATTTGGATTTTTAGATGTTGGGAAAATTTTAAAATACTTTGAATATTTATTATTAGTGAAAACGTCGTCAACCGTGTTCTCTATGTTAAATTTAACGTACGAATCCAGCATATGCATAGGGGAATTGATTGGTCGAAAAAAGTGTGTATATTATATATTTATTAGCGTATTGTATATGCTTACTTTTTATCGCACTTATATATTTTTCGACTTATTTATTTATTAGATGGATTTGAGTGCTATGATATTTTTGTGCATTATTTTCAGACTATTGGGCTACTTTTATGGACGACGAGATATTAAACGAAAGTTTCGACCAACAGAATATGGGGGTATCCCGTACTGACCCAACAGCACCCCGTACTCAGATGTCCAACAGAGCCCATGAAGCCCATGCAATTCATGTAAGAGGGCTGATTGGAATTAATATAAGTAGGCTGCAAATAATAAAGCTACAGTGGGCCAGGAAGAATTTGTAGCCCAATTTAAATATAAAGTGTATGTTATGGCCATAGAGACACGTGAGCAGGTGGAGGGCTTGAATTTTGGGAATTAATTGGTGAGGAAAAGAAATAAAAGAGACTGGAGCAGACCCTAAGAGATCGACTCAGAACAGAACACATACGCAGCCGCTGGGAGAGAGGAGAGAAGAAAGGAAATCACGCATAATAGAGATACAGAGGAAGGGAATTATTCGAGAGCCGCTGACAGAGGACTGGGAGACGAGGAAGTCCGATCAATCGCGGAGGGAGGCCGCACCAGCACACGAGAAGGATAATCTTATTCTTCTCTTTCTCTTTTATTTCGTATTTCGTATGTTAGAGTAGTTTTTAATTCTAGTTCCGGGGATGTCGAATCCTACGATTTGATGATGTTTGATTAATTTATGGTTGATTATTGAGTTATCTTTTTGGAATTGTTTGTGTTATTTTGAATAAGTAACCCTGATTTGTTGAGTCTTGTTTAGCTTGATCACCTAGACTAGGCTTTTCATATCTACTGCTAGATTCAAACTGTCAATCCGTAATTGTTGATGTGTTTAATCAATTAGAGGCTACCGGAAGATGGTAACTACGAGGATAACACGGCCTAATTAAGTGAATGAAAATTTCGCTACTTAGTCTAGCCTATTTTTTTAAATCGTAAAGCGGCTAATTGAATTAAATTTAGGAAGCGTTTCCTAGATTGTTCAAGAGGTCAGATTTAATCGTAGAGCGTCTCGCGGTTAGATTTAAAATAAGGAAAAATTTCCGGGTAACAGACCGTGTCGTTACCTAGGGCTAGTAATTTCATAAGATAGCGAGATTTGATACCAAAGTTGATTAGACGAGTCAGTCGAGGTTGTAGACGGAACCGTGAACTAGAAATTTCTCTTATTTATTTTATTTTATTTTTATTTTCATTGTTTAGATTTTATTCTTATATAGATTAGTTATTAATCCAATCCCCCCCATTTATTGCTTTCTTAATTTCAATTGATACAAGAATATCACAATTTGATTCACACTCCCTTGGGTTCGACCCTTGCTCGCTACTACTACTATTTGGTAGAAGTAAGTTAAGGAAAAATATAAATATTAATTTTGCCGCGTTGCGACG